TCTATTTTTCAGTGTTATTTTTATGTGATATTTTCCAGTCCTTTTTGTTTTTGTCAACATCAAATTTTGAATTAAAATCTGATAATTATTGTTATGATGTGCCTTTTTCATCTTGTCTTTGTTGACAAACAAGTACCTTTGTCAGTGTTAAAGAAGACGAGACAAAAAAATGTGCACCATGTCAACATTTTGTGATGAAAATACACTACTGTTGAAAGGACTGGGGTCAGTAACTGAAAATTTAAAAAAATAATTGTAATAAGAAAATTAACTTTACAAAATGTAAAAATAACTTTGTTTTAATATATTATATTAATTATATTATTTTTAAAAAAAAATATTACTGACCCCAAATTTTTTAGTGGCTGTGTATGATGAGAAAAAATAACACAGCAAGATATTAGCAGTAGACTGACAGTATTTAAAAATAAAAATAAATAATTGATTCAAATAATCCAGTCATATGCTGCGGTTTGACTCGCTTGAGTGTCTTTTAGTTAGTGTTCAACCACTTCAAATAATTAAAAGAAAAAAATGATATTTAAAATGTAATTTTATATTGTGATGTGATGCAAAAACTAAAAGACATTTTGGTTTAAATACAAACAAAAAAAATTATTACAAATATTTATTTTACTATTTGTTTTTTGTGTGTATGTCAAAATTTACGTTGCTCTCAGCTCCAAATAAGAGTATATAGCTCAGATGTTTAAAACATGCAACCGTGTTCTGAAAAATCTATGCAGAAAAAGCAAAAAATGTCCCCAGGTTCAGTCTGGGCCTGACCATCAGTCTGTCATTCGTCCTGTATCTCAAGAGTTTTCAAGCTTCAGCTGCATCAAGCTGCAGCGCTGCCCTTGTGCCGCAGGAAGCCCAGACTCAGAGAGAGCGTGTGGATTAACAGCTGATTAAAGTGGAATTTGAATAAAGTAATCCGTGATGTAAGTGCCTGTGCTGATTACGAGCCGAAGACTCCTCAGACCACCCCAGTTTAGATCCCTGATAAGCACAATGATGAACTATAATTAATGATAAGCATATTAAATGATAACCGAGTCTTGTTCTCTCCCCCCCATGGCACAGGCCTGAGTCTCTTCATTCTGTGCATCCGCTGGCAGATGTTGCCACGCTTCCATTAACTGCTGGCTGTGGTTACTGCTGCTTTAATTACTGGAAACTGAATGAGTTTGACTGCTTATCATGTTCTGTAACCAGGGTTTAATTTATTACATCCACCTTTAGTTTTTGGCGACTAAAGCCCATAACGCTGCTAGGTCAGTCAGATTAGAAGTTTGGCACTAATTGTTGTAAAATATTAAATAGGTTTGCATTGTATCAGTAGGTAGCCTCATTATTAGTTATTGTGTGCAGCAATGGGAACTGGTCTAACAAGCCTTCAAAGCACTTCTGGTAGTTTTCTCACCTGCATTTCTGTTTCACGCTGTGGTTTCACTAATAATTAATACCCCTGCCCTGGGTTCTGTGGAGCGAGGGCTTTGTCCTGAACTGTGCTACAGGAAGTGCCATGTGCCCACTCATGAGCTCAAGAACACACTGTACTTTCAGCAGAGAGCTTCCTTCCACTATCATTATTTCTGTGCATCTCTTCCATTCCTCAAGATACCAGATACCTTTCTCTCCATATGTATTTTTTATTTGATCTTCTAATCATTCTTCTAATCTTCTGATAATGATCTTCTAATCATTTGTAATCTAGAGTTTGTTACTTATTTTTTTTCTTTTATATTTCACAGACAAGAAAACACTATGTAGGTATTTTGTTTCTTTATGGTGTTGTGCTGTATTGTTTTGTGTCTTGTCCATTTTGTTGGATCCCTTGCAATATTGTACCATTTAAGCCATTGTTTCTGTTCTTAGTTATTGATAATAGCTAAGCCTATTAATAGGTAATAATTATAATTATTTTAAAACTATAAATTAATGAGGATTCCATTTATTTTAAAGTGGTTTCAGTAGTGGTTAATAAAAAGTTGCCAGTTTTAATGTACAGTAGAATAATAACTGTTTTTATGGCAGAAACTATGGTTATGGTAAATTATTTTTTTTTAAACCCAAAGGCTGTCTTTGAATATTGTTTGTGATGTCTTGTGAAACAATTATTTATTTTTTACTTTTATTTTTTATTTTATTTACCCCACGGTTATTATTTCTTTAACCCAAAGTCTGTCTTTGAATATTGTTTGTGATGTTTATTTTATTTTATTATTCTATTTTTGTATTTTTATTTTTATTTTTAATTTTACATTTACTTTTTTTTTTCTTTATTTGTTTTTTATTTTACTTCACATTATTTAAGTATTTTTCTCCGCTTTGCTCATTTATTCACTTTTTATTTTACTTATTTATATAGTTATTTATTTTTCTTCCATTTCACTATATTTCTGTACGTTGGTTGTGTTCAGCTCGATTTGGTTTGAATATTTCACACGTCTTCCTCCTCGATAATCACCTGCACACGGTTTAAAAAACTGCATTGATCATTTCTTGGTCTTTCAGCATCTACAAAAATAACATAACAGTCCATGAATGCAAAATAGGTGACAGACTCATATCTCCCTCTCCGATATTCATAGCTGCAATGCAAGTTGTGAGTGCCCAGCCAAGTACATTCAGCTTTGAATCAGTCCAGAACGAAGTGTAGAACGAGTCCCTGTTCATAGCGCCTGAGCGCACATGAGCATCTCCCTCTGATCCTGTTTGCATGGCGCGGATGCGTTGAGTGTGAGGGAATGTGACCCAAATGGAATTATTCTTCCATCAAAGGGAAGTATCCATGAATTAGAAATGACCTTGATTGGAGAGGCCCCAGAGACAGAACTCCACAGTTCAAGCAATTTCACACCTGTTCGCTGAATGGCTTTCGAGAGTGATGGAGGCAGTGAGGAAAGGCTGAGAGAGAGGATGAGATGGACTGAAAGAGATGTTGGAGGAGTTTAGAAGTAATGATTAGATATGTATAAATAAAAGCATAGCGTGAAGAAAAAGCCGAAAACTGTATCCTACTTGTCAAATTGTGCATCAGTGTTATGTTAGTGTTATGTACATTTAATCACTTAGCAGACGCTTTTATCCAGAGTGACTTATTATTATTATTATAGCTTTATTAATATTTGGATGTTTAATAATATTTAATGTATTCATTTAAATATTTGATAATATTTATTCATATTAGCTTTTATTTTCATTGTTATATTTTTATATTTAAATTACATTTCAGTAGTATAGTAGTATTTCGTATTTCTTTAAATTATTTGTAATATTTTGGTGTTAAATAATTCAGTTTGGGGTTAAAATAGCTCATTTTGGCCTGCTCACCTCATTAATATAAAAGACTTTAAATTCATCCCTTGGGGCTAAAGGGACCGTTGCTGTGTGGCCCCAGATCTTCCCAAAGTTGGCTATCCCTGTTTTACAAGGCGTGATGTGTGTGCCGTAAGCCTTTGTATTTCAGTTGATCTGTCTTGTGAATGTTGTGTTTGCTTCTCAGCCTGTTGTGTTTCCATCATCTGAAGCACAAATACATTCTTGAAGGATTTCGCCTTCAAAGTCATTTTCAAAGTCTGCGTGTGTCAAAGTAAACAAATAATAGAGCACCTAAGCCCTCAATTCATACATAATTCAACCAAAGCCAACCGTTTTAAGATTACGGATTTCAATCATAGAGGTGAATAAAAATTGTGAATCTTTTTTTTTTGCGAAAGGCAGCTATACATCACATTCCTGCCTCTGCATGTGTACTACAATAAAAAAGGTCACAAGTGAAAGACTTGGCCTTGTACACAAAAGCTGACATGCAAGGCTGGAGAAGCTTTTCATCGCTAAAAGATTAAGATTCAATTCACTTTAATTCAATTTCCAACCTTTTCTCAAGAGCTTAGGACCCAGTGATGTATAAAACACCCTTCTGATAGCTTTCATAATTTGGGAGCTTGTAAAATTATGAACGATCGATGTAATTTCTCATCAGAAACTGCATTTGATGGCTTTGGAATCAGTAGCGTTTTTTCATTAGGCAACTATTTATTTTTTTAGCCCACAGTTGAATGGACCCGAATCTCAAGCTCACTGGAGAGCAGCAAATTTCTTTTTCCCCATTTAATCCTCTACCCACGATGCACCTGGCTTGACACTTCACCACAAACCCTGCCTGCAGATGCTCATTAGAGTGCTTGTGTCGGCTCTGTCCCGATTTTCAATCGCTCAAATCCAATCTTTTGCCAAAAACAATTGCGCAATGATGACGTTAAGTGACACATCTAGACAAATTCACATTTATCATTCTCTTATATTGTGCTAATAAGGCAGATGTCAGACACTGGTGGTTTTATTCAGATTTGACAGCACAGTCTGGTTGGGTTTGTGTTTGTTCTGACGTGTTTTGCCCTTTTGTCTTCCCAGTCTTTTGCCTCCCCCTCAAGAAAAGCGCAACCCAATGCTGTCCTCTTGAGTTTGCTTGTATGTTTGTGAGGGTGTTTTTGCGTTGAATGAGGTTTTAAAAGGCCTCCGTCTGGCTTTGATCCAGGCTTTAACCCAGAGCCCATCGATCGGCCGTTCAGACCGGATTACGGTTAGTCTTCTTCTCAGCCCGAGATGCCTCTATCTGCCTGTCACAAATCACAGGCCTCAAGAGCGCCTTTGAACTGCATCTCCAAAGTGGCATGGTCAGTCGACACCTGTGAGGTGCAGTCGGGCGTCAGTCAGGCAATGAACAAATAGAGCCAGTGAGCTATTTCGGCACCGCATTGCATTATCTATTCATACAATTTGCAGCGCAGGATGTTCAGAGCCGTCAAAGTGCCCGACTAACAAACATAAAACACAGAAGCTGTGTATACATAGTATCTGAAGGCTGTTTTTTTGTGAAGAACAGCATTCGAATCAGAACAACAACTGGTGGCCTATTAGGCTGATGCTCACATTCGGAATTGTGATCCCAAAAAATCTTCTCGTTAACACTTTTTTGTCTCCCTTCATCCTAGAAAAGAGAGGACAACCAGACAGATTCCAGAATCAGTCCTAAGAAGAGTGCAGAGCCTGCCATCGACCTGTTAGGCCTCGGTAAGACATGAATAATTGATTACTCGTCTCATTGCTGATCAGGGAATCTGATATGTCTAAGATAGGCTGGAACAAAAAGACATTTTACACCAAAAAAAATTAAGTGGTGGGAGGTAGTGAAATGGAAGCACAATTTGTGCACTTAAAGGGTTAACATGTGTCATTGACTAATCAAATGGGATTTTACAGACAAATCAATCTTACAGCGTTTACTTTATATGTAGTGATTAGAGGTCGACCGATTCATCGGTTTTGCCGATTAATTTCTGGTGTGTGACTTCTCCGAGAACGCATCGCAGGGCTCTACAGTACGACCATTTCAGTCGCAAATCTGAAGTTTCTTTTTTTAACATTAGTAAACTATGAAATAACTTTAATGATCAATATAATAATTAATATTAATATGTTTATTCATTTACAAAGTATGGTTCAGTACTGCTACTGCTTTTTTTAAAAGAGTAAAGCTCTGTTTTAGTTTTCGTTTACCATTTTAAAAACTATCGGTTGATTAATCGGTATCGGCCAGTGTGGTCCAACCTAGCTATCGGTATCGGTAAAATCCACTATCGGTCGACCTCTAGTAGTGATGTGTGATATATTCATCCTTTTCAGTCATGTGACCTTTCCGCTCATCCACCATATTTATGGCCAACAGCAGGGCAAAGTGTTGGTGGTGAATACAAAAACAAATGAACAGAGATGTTCTCTGAAGGTTTGCGGATTCAATGCATAAATGTGCATCAGTGTTTGGTTTGCTAGAGTCTAGGGTTGTGCTGATAGAAAATTATATCATGTATCGATGATAATCAGAGATATCGACAATAGCTGATGCCATTGATGATTTCAACATGATGTTTGGCTGGTTTTCCCATTAATGTATTATTATTATTATTATTATTATTAACAGTGGCACGGGACGTAGGGTGCTATTGGTACTGCAGCAAAAATAGCAAAAGTGCGCAGTAAAAACCATAATACTGTGAAATATTCAAATGTAAAAATTTGGGATTTTTTTATGTTTTTGAATGAAGCTTGTTATGCTCATCAAGGTTGCATTTTTTAATCAAAATATAGTATAATATAGTAAAATAGTAATTTAGCAAAATATAGTAAAAGCAGAAATATTGTGAAATATTATTATTATTTTCTATTTTAATATATTTTAAAAAATAATTTTACATTTTCAGTTACATTTAAATGACATGTGATGGAAAAGCTGTTACTGGCCATTACTCCAGTCTTCAGTGTCACATGATCCACTAAACTCAAAATTAATATAAATTTTACCGTACATTATAGAGCTGTGATGCCTAAATTCACTTGTAGCATTTAAAATGATTTGTCTTAGTTTTTAATGTTTTATTTTTTTTTAATTTATCTAGAGAAAATGGTATCTCTGTTTATTTTTTCTTTTCTTTTCTTATTATTTGACCAGCAAGTACTCAAGACAACGTGTTGCTGTACACCTAAGCGGCATGTTTTAATGTCTGTGTTAAGGCTTGGATAGTGGAACACACTGACTGCTATTACTGTCTAGATGAAGGTTCAGGGAAGCACACTGCTAGTTCAGTCCTGGTGGTATTGATCAGGCCAGCAACTCGAGCCCTTGAGATGACCAAACACAATTGATGTTATATTACTTTCTGGGAAATGAAAGTTTCTATTTGCTGCCCTGGAGCTTTCCTTTGTCGCTCTGACTTGTTTTTATCACTCTCTCTCTCTCTTATTCGATATTTCTGACTCTCTCAATCTCGATCTGCTACCAAGTTGTCCGTTATGATGAGTGAGAGAGACAGAGAATGGGTGAGAATATATACATTTCCACAAATGTGTGTGTCCTAGGCAAGGAGGTTAGAGTGTTTAGATGAACGTCTTCAGCTGGGGGGCAGTAGGGGTCAGTGCTGATGAACAGAGGCTGGAGATGATGGTTTTGAGATTGAAACATGCGTCTTATTGATGTGTTTTTGCTCAAGGCCCCAGCATCTCTTCCCACCCTTCCATGCCAGCAACAGGCTCCAGCACTGTGTTCAGACAATCAACATTTTTTCTCTCTCTTTTAGGGATGGAACGATTACCGGTTTCACGATAAAATGCCCTGACGGTTAGTATTATCGTTTAAAATTTAATTATCATCAAAACCGTATTTGATTATTGCGATTTTGAAAACTCGCGGTAAATCCTGTCCAGCCAGCATCAGTCTGACGCAGAAGCAGCATGCAGTGTTGTTGTTGTTGTTATTTTTTGCACGAGAGGAAATGGCGGAAGGCAGTGACAGCGCACGGGAGATTTTTCAGCCATCTTTGTTTGTTGATTTTCAAATATAAAACTTATTGAAATGTTTTCAGTGTGTGTATCAGTTCTTTTTGAACATGTTCATGTAATTTGAACAAAACCGTGATAATATTGATAATCGTGATAACTTTGGTCACTATAACCGTGATATGAAATTTTCATACCGTTACATCCCTACTCTCTTTCCATCAGTGTGGCTGTTGATTAAAAATTTATCAAATTACTTGCATCATATGCTTGATTAATCAAATGAAGCACAATTAATCAACAATATATCAATACATTTGCTTTCTGTCTGTGTTAAATTTGTGTTTACACCTGATGTTAACATCCATCCCAGGAGATTCGTTTTAGAACTGTTTAGATCTAGTATTATCTAGTGCTGTCAAATCTATTAATCGCGATTAATCGCATCCAAAATAAAAGTTTGTGTTGTTTGCATAATATATGTGTGTGTGTGTGTGTATATATATATATATATATGTATAAAAAATATACGTATGTCACCAGACTTCTCTCTGGTGGCATACGTCAGACTTCTCCAATCATTTCATCCGCATAAATCCCGCCACTCTTAAAATTGATTGCAAACTTGCATTCAAATCTGCCTCCATTCAATCAACAACCGATAGATAGAACTTCAAGATAGATAGAAGTCTCCTCCTTACATTTTCTCAATAATCGGTTACACTTTGATGTATGTTACAACATGGAAGAAAAGATCTGGCGTTACATTTTTATTACATTGCAACTTTAACATTACAAAAGTCTTTTTAGGCATGCCATTCAACCTGTCCATGTTGACATCTGCCTAATTTGGCTACCTTCCACCAAGTTACATTTGAATTTGCGCAAACGATACTGTAGTTCGATTAGGCACTCAGCCCATTTCATATCTGCATTCTTTTTTATATTTGCATTTAGCTTCATTTTTCCTTACTATTCGTGACTTTATCAGAATAGACCTGGAACCCACCACCACATGAAAACCACTGATTTAGACCACATGTATAGACGCTCGTAAAGCATATCAGATGTTTGTGCACACATAAAGGCCTTTGAAATAGAGTGCAGTGCTTTCCGGATGCTCCGCTCTTTTGCACATCACACTGTACGTGGGTTCTCTAATTTCCTATTCCTATCCTCCTTCTAGTCACACCCCCAGCTCATCAAGCGTCACATCTCTCCTCTTCCCCACTCCCGTTGCTTTTCACTCCAGTTATATTACTTTGAGCTCTTTTATTTTCATGGATTTTATCAGTCATAAAGAGATGGCAGTAGCTCCTGACTGTAACGTGTGAACACAGACGGGGCTCTGATGGAGTCTTTTGACTTTAATGGAATGAGAGAGTGCGTCTGAGCGGCAGGCCGGCGTCGGAGGAGAGCGGACCCTTTTTCTCCAGCGTTGGCGGAGGCGTGTGCAGAGTGTGATTAGATTTCCTGCTCTCTTGGATGGAGTCGATAGATAGCGGGAACAGGAAAAGCAAGCAGAGAAGGAGGTGTGGGCTGCTGCCAGATGAGCACTGCTTTATTTCTCTCTACAGAAACAAAGACTCATGCGAGCAGGTTTAGCCTGGCATTGGTCATCACTGCTGAGTCAATGAGTCACAGATGCGTCTGAATTGTTATGTAAAGAGTATGTACAGCCGCTGTGTCTCTAACATCTGACTTCAGTGGCTCAGAATAGATAAATACAGTGGCCCCGAAAAATATTTGGATGCCACAAGCAAATTAAACATTTCTTAGACATTTTTGGCTTATAACCTGCTGGTCTGCGAAATAGTTGTCCTAGCAGAGTAATCACATAATTTGACAACCAGAGATACTTTGTCTGCATTTTGAACAGTATATGTAGTATTTTATCATTTAAGGCAAGACACTATAGGTCAAAATGGTAACATTTTTAACTAATACATATCACCATACTTTCACCAGTTCGTTAATCACAATACATTAAAACAATTATTTTGTATTACAAGTTTTCTGAAATGTCATATATAAATATGCAAATGATGCTTTATCTAATTAAATATGCACACATTTTCATAAATGTACAGAACACAAATCCTCTGTAAAATCCAGAAGAATATACAGTATATATATATATATATATATAGTAAGAAAACTTTGAAAATTTGGTTTATGTAAGTGGTACTGAAGAGGAGATTTCTTGTTTTAGTGCATGAGAAAATTGTTGTTTTGAGAAAACAGTCATTAAATATATGTATCGTAATTGCAATCTATAGATAGATAGTGTAAATTAAATGTGGAGAGATGACAGAACATCCACAATCCACAAGTCCGAAAGAAGACATGTTAAGGAAGCAAAATAGGCCAAAATCTTCAAATTGACCAGTGCATAAAAACAATGGTTCTGCTTGTGATGTCTTGCTTTAAAATCAACCAAATGTATTATTTTTTGGGGGGGGTTTTTGTAATAAATGTTTTCCTTAAAGTGTGCTTTGGCAGTGGTCTTCAAAACCGTTGACACCGTTTTACATGTTATTCAAGGCAATGAAATATATTTATGTGTGACTCTAAACACTTTCTGGTCACTGTATTTCTTTAAGTTTGGTGTGAAACCAATAAAAATCTATAGTGACTGTTACTCTATATAATGCAGTTGACACTTTGTCCATGTCTGTAATGTCCTTTGGTTCTCTCTCGCTCAGATGCACCCACAGCCAGCTCTGCCAGCAGTGGGGCGGGAACAAGCAGTGCAGCACCAATCAGTGACGACTTGGACATCTTTGGACCAATGGTATCCAACCCTCTGCCCTCAAACACCAACACAAACCAGGTAAATGAGTCCACTAATGGATACATCAATAGCCAAGTGTGTGTGTGTGTGTTCTTGACTCAAAATACCTGCTCTATCCTGTTGTCATGTCAGTCACACCAATTTCTCAGTGCTGGGTAGTTGACAACCATTGACAGCAGTGTCCTGCGGTGTGACATGCTATATGTATTTTTTTCTGTTATATTAGATGTGAATTACGCTATTGCTCAAAAGTTTGAGGTCAGAAAGAATTTTAAGGAAATTAATACCTTTATTGAGCAAGGATTCATTAAATTGATCAAAAGTGACCGTAAACACATTTATGTTCAAATATTTTTTTCTATTTCAAATAATTGCCGTTCTTTTGTAATTTCTATTCATCAAAGATTCCTGGAAAAGAAAATATTACAGTTTCCACAAAAATATTAAGCAGCACGACACTTAATAATGATGAAGATAAGAAAATTTCATCTTTGCCATCACAGAAATAAATAATTTTTAAATATATTAAAATAGATTAGGGTTATTTAAAATTTTAATAATATTTCACAATATTTCTGTTTTTATTTTTGATCGAATAAATGCAACCTTAGTGAGCAATAGGAAACTTTTTCGTAGACATAAAAAAAAAATCTCCTGATCCTTAATGTGGACAGTGGAAGAATATTTATTTTGTAATTTTAAAAATTATTTTGTCACAGTGTGGAACTATTTACATAGCTGCGAATTAACTGGAAATATTTATTGGAAATTGTTAAAAAAGAAAAGATGACCAGCACCTAAAATATACATTTGTGTTATATTTTCATATTTATTTTATCCTGATATGATGATATTAAATAAAAAAAGTAAATGTCAGTGCTATGTCAGCGACCCACAAACCACCTGAACTCATTTGGTACATTTGGTAATTTGTCATGGCATGTGGTGGCTAATGCTAAGCAGACCTTCATAGACCAGTGCGCCTCATTTGTAAGGGAATGGAGGTACAAGTTAAACAAGAAGCATTATTTTTCTTAGGTCACAAAACGTGTCTGTTCCTGCTTGCCCTCATTCAGTCTAAATTCATCTGACTAAGAGAGACAAAGAAAAGGTCAAACCCAATTGTTTTAATTTCCTCCACAAACAACATGATTACATTGTGCCTGTCTAGTTGCGGCTGACAGAATTGATTTGCAGGGTCTCCCTGGCCAAAGGATGCAGCATGAATAATGAGGGATATTAGCATTTATTACAACCCTTCACCGAGAAGAGTGAAGAGGAGAAATGTTTAATAATGTCAAGAGAAGAGAGGGATAAAAGCAGAATCATGTTAAGAGGAGGCAGAGAAGTTTGGCAAATACATGTTAGAGATGCACAATGTATCTGAACCTTAGTGGTTCAAATTTTGGTTTTGTTGGCTCATATTGTGCATTTAATTGTACATCAGCATTTTCCTTATTTTTTACATTTGAATGACCTTTGCTATCATCTAATGCTGATTAACACTGTTAAATGTAGTGTTCAGCAAATTTTTTTCATATATTTAGATAAAATAATGTCGCACTTTGTATCCTTTACCGGGCATTACCAGGTTTTTTTAATGTTGTAATAATTACCCATAGAAATATTATTAACACAGAATAATAATCAACATTAATATTCAGACTACATTTTATTTGTTGAAGGGCAATAAGTGATCTAAATACTGTATAGATGGGCATTGGCCAAAATAATGTTGATAACCACTGATTTACATGTTTATAGCTAATCAGGATGCTGGAAGATCCCAGCATGAGTAGCAATTTGTCTTTGTGAAAGCTAGTCTTCACCTCTGGGATCCACTCTCACTAACCCTACACTGTCTCCACTTTCACCTTTTCTCCCTCGATAGACCTTAGTCAGGGTTGCGCCATGTTGAATTTTTTGGCAGGAATGAAAATGAGGCTGTGAGGCACAGAAGTACAGTGTTTTCGAAAGATCTTACTGTTGTTTAACAATGTACCGATTGTTCAGCTGATGAAACATCTTTCCAAAAGAATTTTCAGTTGACAAAACTCAATAAAACCGTTTTGAAAGTTGTGAGTTTTGAAAAATTCAATATGGCGTCTACCCTGACTAAGGTCCATTCCCATCCTCCTTTTACTCCTGTTTTGGCCATCGTTCTCAGAATAGCTCGAGGAGGATTCTCTTTTTTGATCTTGGAAGCCTGAAGCTTATATATATATATATATATATAGTAAGAAAACTTTGAAAATTTGGTTTATGTAAGTGGTACTGAAGAGGAGATTTCTTGTTTTAGTGCATGAGAAAATTGTTGTTTTGAGAAAACAGTCATTAAATATATGTATCGTAATTGCAATCTATAGATAGATAGTGTAAATTAAATGTGGAGAGATGACAGAACATCCACAATCCACAAGTCCGAAAGAAGACATGTTAAGGAAGCAAAATAGGCCAAAATCTTCAAATTGACCAGTGCATAAAAACAATGGTTCTGCTTGTGATGTCTTGCTTTAAAATCAACCAAATGTATTATTTTTTGGGGGGGGTTTTTGTAATAAATGTTTTCCTTAAAGTGTGCTTTGGCAGTGGTCTTCAAAACCGTTGACACCGTTTTACATGTTATTCAAGGCAATGAAATATATTTATGTGTGACTCTAAACACTTTCTGGTCACTGTATTTCTTTAAGTTTGGTGTGAAACCAATAAAAATCTATAGTGACTGTTACTCTATATAATGCAGTTGACACTTTGTCCATGTCTGTAATGTCCTTTGGTTCTCTCTCGCTCAGATGCACCCACAGCCAGCTCTGCCAGCAGTGGGGCGGGAACAAGCAGTGCAGCACCAATCAGTGACGACTTGGACATCTTTGGACCAATGGTATCCAACCCTCTGCCCTCAAACACCAACACAAACCAGGTAAATGAGTCCACTAATGGATACATCAATAGCCAAGTGTGTGTGTGTGTGTTCTTGACTCAAAATACCTGCTCTATCCTGTTGTCATGTCAGTCACACCAATTTCTCAGTGCTGGGTAGTTGACAACCATTGACAGCAGTCAAGTCAAGTCAAGTCACCTTTATTTATATAGCGCTTTTAACAATACAGATTGTGTCAAAGCAACTGAAAGCGGTGTCCTGCGGTGTGACATGCTATATGTATTTTTTTCTGTTATATTAGATGTGTATTACGCTATTGCTCAAAAGTTTGAGGTCAGAAAGAATTTTAAGGAAATTAATACCTTTATTGAGCAAGGATTCATTAAATTGATCAAAAGTGACCGTAAACACATTTATGTTCAAATATTTTTTTCTATTTCAAATAATTGCCGTTCTTTTGTAATTTCTATTCATCAAAGATTCCTGGAAAAGAAAATATTACAGTTTCCACAAAAATATTAAGCAGCACGACACTTAATAATGATGAAGATAAGAAAATTTCATCTTTGCCATCACAGAAATAAATAATTTTTAAATATATTAAAATAGATTAGGGTTATTTAAAATTTTAATAATATTTCACAATATTTCTGTTTTTATTTTTGATCGAATAAATGCAACCTTAGTGAGCAATAGGAAACTTTTTCGTAGACATAAAAAAAAAATCTCCTGATCCTTAATGTGGACAGTGGAAGAATATTTATTTTGTAATTTTAAAAATTATTTTGTCACAGTGTGGAACTATTTACATAGCTGCGAATTAACTGGAAATATTTATTGGAAATTGTTAAAAAAGAAAAGATGACCAGCACCTAAAATATACATTTGTGTTATATTTTCATATTTATTTTATCCTGATATGATGATATTAAATAAAAAAAGTAAATGTCAGTGCTATGTCAGCGACCCACAAACCACCTGAACTCATTTGGTACATTTGGTAATTTGTCATGGCATGTGGTGGCTAATGCTAAGCAGACCTTCATAGACCAGTGCGCCTCATTTGTAAGGGAATGGAGGTACAAGTTAAACAAGAAGCATTATTTTTCTTAGGTCACAAAACGTGTCTGTTCCTGCTTGCCCTCATTCAGTCTAAATTCATCTGACTAAGAGAGACAAAGAAAAGGTCAAACCCAATTGTTTTAATTTCCTCCACAAACAACATGATTACATTGTGCCTGTCTAGTTGCGGCTGACAGAATTGATTTGCAGGGTCTCCCTGGCCAAAGGATGCAGCATGAATAATGAGGGATATTAGCATTTATTACAACCCTTCACCGAGAAGAGTGAAGAGGAGAAATGTTTAATAATGTCAAGAGAAGAGAGGGATAAAAGCAGAATCATGTTAAGAGGAGGCAGAGAAGTTTGGCAAATACATGTTAGAGATGCACAATGTATCTGAACCTTAGTGGTTCAAATTTTGGTTTTGTTGGCTCATATTGTGCATTTAATTGTACATCAGCATTTTCCTTATTTTTTACATTTGAATGACCTTTGCTATCATCTAATGCTGATTAACACTGTTAAATGTAGTGTTCAGCAAATTTTTTTCATATATTTAGATAAAATAATGTCGCACTTTGTATCCTTTACCGGGCATTACCAGGTTTTTTTAATGTTGTAATAATTACCCATAGAAATATTATTAACACAGAATAATAATCAACATTAATATTCAGACTACATTTTATTTGTTGAAGGGCAATAAGTGATCTAAATACTGTATAGATGGGCATTGGCCAAAATAATGTTGATAACCACTGATTTACATGTTTATAGCTAATCAGGATGCTGGAAGATCCCAGCATGAGTAGCAATTTGTCTTTGTGAAAGCTAGTCTTCACCTCTGGGATCCACTCTCACTAACCCTACACTGTCTCCACTTTCACCTTTTCTCCCTCGATAGACCTTAGTCAGGGTTGCGCCATGTTGAATTTTTTGGCAGGAATGAAAATGAGGCTGTGAGGCACAGAAGTACAGTGTTTTCGAAAGATCTTACTGTTGTTTAACAATGTACCGATTGTTCAGCTGATGAAACATCTTTCCAAAAGAATTTTCAGTTGACAAAACTCAATAAAACCGTTTTGAAAGTTGTGAG